GTAAAACACAAGAAAAATAAGCATCTAGGCCTTGCATCCTGAGTGGGGGCAGTATCACCCAAAAGGAACACAGGTCCTCAGAGCAGAGGCAAAACCCTCTTATTCTGTTTGTGTTCAGCACAAATCGACATAAATACCCTAAACAGATACGCAATAAAAATAAGCATATAATTTTTAAATTTCATAGGAGAAGAGGGAAGTAGAGGAAACATTTCAAAAAGGATGGGCCAATCATGAAAAAAAAAAAAATTGAGTAACAAGGAAATTTTTTAAAAGAAGCACAAATCACAAGTCCTGCTGTTTTAGTATCGGATGGAGCAGACCGTCGAAGTTCATACACATGGTCTCCCGGTGTCTGTAGTCATCCCATTGGGAAGAGTTTGCCGACAGGCTCCACCGCGGTCCACAGTTCACGTGCGGTGTGCTCGTGCGGTGTGCTCGTGCGGTGTGCTCGTGCACCACTGCGTTTTGATCTGGAGTTGTCTTAACTCTTTGTACACGTATCCACTTGACTGTGTTCTGTCTCCTCCCTGAATGTGAGCGTCAGCCCCTGACTTGCGGCCGTATCCACAACGGTGCCTGCCGCGGTGATATGTGGCTTGTCACTCACTGGCAAGTGTGTTGTTGAATACACAGGTGAACACCCACTTGAAATTGTTGTGCTGATGTGTCGTGGTGGCTCTGGTCTGCGCGTGTGGCTCCTTCTATCTTCAGGCTCAGCCGTGCGATCCAAGAAGACCCTACTTTGCAGGGAAAGGGAGGCCCTGCCCCTGCCCTTGAAGGGCCTAATCAGGAAATCGTGCCCATGAACTTATCCCCCTCCCCTTGTCTAGAACTCCTCACAGGGCCATGCCGCCCACAGGGGAGGCTGGGAAAGTGTTTATTCTCATCAGCCATGTGCCCAGCTGAAAAGCAGGGACAGAAGGGGTGAATGGATACTGGGGGACCCCTTGCGGGACCTGCCACAGTCACCTTCAGACAGGACATTTTCCACTTCTCACCCTCGCCCCCACCAGCCCCCCTTGGGGGACCCCACCCGCCAGAGGGAGGCATGAAGCCGGTGTTTTAACATTCCAGCTCGTGGTGGGACCATTTGGAAAACCTTCCAGAGACCACATCTTGTAGCACAAAATTTCAGGGGCCATGTGCCCCATCCTCCTGGGTCCCATCAGGCACAGGATAGAATTCTCACTGCAGGGGCTCTTGGGGGCGCCCTCGGATCTGCACACTGCACATCGTCCGGGTGTCCGTGCTCCAGATGCCCCTGGGTCCCAAAATGGAAACAAACACGAGGCAGTTTGGGAGAAAGAATACCAATGGGCGAGCCGGAGGCGAGGGTGGCCTGATTGTTCCAGACCTGCCCTCAGTCGGCATCCAGGAGGTTGCCACGGAAGCAAAGAGAAATCAGGAGAGAAAACGTTGGGCCAGCCAGCGGGCTTCCTAGAGGAGGTGCGTCCCTCAGTGTTAGCAGGTAGTCACCATGGTAACCAAAACCCCAAAATGGTTTCCAATGGATTGGGCTGGCCTAGACCTTCTGCCGGACACGCCCGGACAGGCCCTGAGGACAGAAGGGGACCCCAGCGTGCCACACTGTTGTGGACAGATTCTGTGGTTTGAGACCCTGGGACAGGCCCCCACATAGTGGAGACTGGGAGGGGATGCCCAGCCATGGCCGTGCTCCTCGCTCTTGCTCTCCTGGCTCCTTCAGCTCCTCCTGCAGAGAGTCCTTCAGGTGCCACTTCCTCCAGGAAGCCTTCCTTGGCTTCACCCCTCCCCCATTCCAGAGCCCCTGCCTGCGCCCAGCACGTATTCTTCCCACCCCTGCATATGGATATAGTTTATTTTGTAGATTTAACTTTGGTGCCATCTCAGTATTTTGTATAATTATAAAACACATTGGAAAAACAGTGCCTAAAATGTGAGCGCAAAATATGTATATATGGCATAACCATACAGAGGGGAGAGTTTATTTCCCCATCGTTTTACTTTTTCCTTTATTTTCTTCCTTCCTGATGTTTCAAGGCTCTTTTGTTTTTTAATTCCTCTTTTTTTTTTAATTTCCTGTATGTTTCCAAGAACCTCTTGTACCCGTCTGTTCAGAGTGTATCTGCTATGACAGATTTTCTTAGTTTTCCTTCATTTCTATATCAATTTACTCTAAAAATCATCCAACTGAAAAACAGAAGGCACCTGGGCGGCTGAGTGGGTTGAAGATCCAACTCTTGATTTCGGCTCTGGTCATGATCTCCTGGCTCATGACTTCGGCTCCTCCATGATCTCTACACCAGGCATGGAGCCTGCTTGGATTCTCTCTCTCTGTCTCTCTCTCTCTTCTCTGTGTCCCTCTACCCTTCCCCTGCTCACACTCTTTCTCTAAAATAATAAGAAAATCATACAACTGACCCAGTGGAGGAATTTCATTGCATATAAGTTTTGTAGCCCCAACAAAACAGTTTGCAAAAGAAGCAGCCGCACAGAGTGATGTTCACAACTCAGGTCAGGGGGTGCCTGGGGGCTCAGTCAGTTAGTCTTCCAACTTCTGCTCAGGGCATGCTCTCGCAGTTCATGGGTTCGAGCCCCGCGTCAGGCTCTGGGCTGACAGCTCGGAGCCTGGAGCCTGCCTCAGAGTCTGTGTCTCCCTCTCTCTCTGCCCCTCCCCTACTTGTGCTCTGTCTCTTTCTCTCAAAAAAAAATAAGCATTAAAAATTTTTTATTTGTTTATCTTTTTTTTTAATGTTTTATTTATTTCTGAGAGAGAGAGAGAGAGAGACAGCATGAGCAGGGGAGGGGCAGAGAGAGAGGGAGACACAGAATCTGAAGCAGGCTCCAGGCTCTGAGCTGTCAGCATAAAAAAAGACAAAAACAGGGCTCAAACCCATGAACCGGGAGATCTTGACCTGAGCCGAAGTCAGACGCTTAACCGACTGATCCACCCAAGCGCCCCTAGAATTTTTTTTTAAAAAAAGAAAAGAAAACGCAGGTCAGACTGCCCGGTTCCAGCCCCAGCAGCCGTCACCCACTCTCTGTGCTGCCTTGTGCAGGTCACTTAACTCTCCTGTGCCTCACTTTGTCCAGAAAGAGCTCAGAATGGCACCTGACACACACAAGTCCACTGCTGCTCCTCACCTCGTCCCGCCACGGGCTCCTGCCTCATTGGCTCTTTGTTCTCTTTCTCTCACCTGCCAAGCAAATCGCCCCATTAGGACGTGTGTGCCCAGTGTTTGTGGGCGCTCCTCCCCCAGGCTCTTTCCATCCCTGGTGCCCTCTCCTCTCGTTCACGCCTCAGCCCCAGGGTCCCCGCACAGAGGGCTTGCCCACCCACCACTCACTCATTCATTGAATAGCACTTTCTAGAATATTGGTTTTAGTCCCATTTTATAGATGGGGCAGCTGAAGCTCCGAGAGCCACAGTCGTTTCATTCATTTATTCGGTTTACCACCTTCTGTTGTGCACTGTTAGTGGGAATGTAAAACAATGGAACACTGTGGAAAACAGTGATAGGCTCCTCAAAAAAATGAAAAATCAAATTGCCATGTGATCCAGGAATTCCATTTTTTTAATGCTTGTTTATTTATTTTTAAATTTTTTTATCATTTATTTTGAGAGAGTGAGCATGAGTGGGGGAGAGGCAGAGAGAGAGGGATAGAGAGAGAAGCTGAAGCAGGCTCCACACCGTCAGCATGGAGCCTTGAACTCCAGAACCATGAGATCGTGACCTTAGCTGAAGTCAGACCCTTAACTGACCAAGCCACCCAGGCGCCCCATATTTGTTTATTTTTGAGAGAGAGAGAGACAGAGCATGAGCGGGGGAGGGGCTGAGAGAAAGGAAGACACAGAATCAGAAGCAGGCTTCAGGCTCTGAGGGGTCAGCATGGAGCCCGGTGCGGGGCTCAAGCTCACCAACCGTGAGATCATGACCTGAGCCGAAGTCACACTTAATGGACTGAGCCACCCAGGCGCCCCCAGTAATTTCACTTCTGAGCATTTAACCAAAAGAACTGAAAGCAGGGTCCGAAAGAGGCATTTGTATGCCTGTGTTCTTAGTAGCATTATTCACAGTAGCCAAAAAGCAGAAGCAATCCAATATCCACCGACAGATAAGTGGAAAAACAAAATGTGGTATATCTGTGCGATGGGATGTTATTCAGCCTTAAAAAGAAAGGAAATCCTGGGCGCCTGGGTGGCTTGGTCGGTTGAGCATCCAACTTCAGCTCAGGTCATGATCTCGCAGTTGATGAGCTCGCATCGGGCTCTGTGCCGACAGCTCAGAGCCTGGAGCCTGCGTTGGATTCTGTGTATCCCTCTCTCTCTTTCTCTCTCTGCCCCTCCCCTAACTCATGCTCTCTCTCTCTCTCTGTCTCAGAAATAGATATAAACATTAAAAAACTGTTTTTAAGAGGAAGGAAATTCTGACACTTGCCACAACATGGACAAACTTTGAAGACATTATATTATATGAAATAAACTAGTCACAGAAGTACAAATGCCACGTGTTTCTACTTACATGAGGTTTCCAGAACAATCACATTCATGGAGAAAGTAGAGTGGTGGGTGCCAGGGGCTGAGGGAGGGGAGGAATGAGGAGTCAGCATTTAATGGATATATAGTCTTCGTTTCGCAAGATGAAAAATATTCTGGGGATGGATGGTGGGGAAGGTCGCACAACAGTGTGAGTGTGCTTAGAAATAGTTGAAATGGAAAGTTTTCGGTTATATACATTTATCACAATTTCTAAGTAAATATCTTTAAGCACAATTGTTGGGAACAAGAATCTGTATTGTCTGTGCTGTCTTATTCCTCACCACAGTCCTTTGATGGAGTTACTTGTATTCGTTAATTGGCAGAACAGGGCGTCAGAGAGATCTGGTAAATGCTAAGGTCACGGCTCCATCCTAGCCTGTCTGCTCTCAGAGAGCCCACCTGTCTGCCAAATCTTTCTCCTCCCCGTCCCCATCCGACTGTGAGAAACCTCATCTGTACCCATTACTCCATCCTGCAGGCACGGCGGGCATCTACCAAGGAGCAAATGGCCTGACCAACGCAGCTGGATTCGGAACCGTGCACCAGGTAGATGTTACTCCCTGCCCTGTTCTTAAATAGCCCCCTTGAATCAGGCCGTCCTGAGAGCCCACTCCTGCCCACGACCCCTGCCAGAAATAGTCTCTTATTCCCCAGGCTTAGCCACCACAGGGGTCAGACTGTGCAAAAGGCCGTCGGAAAGAGAACAAGCTAGAGGCAGAGAAACTGGAATTGTCAGCAGACTTCCAAGATGACACGGGTGATATTATAGACTCCCTCTTGAGCCCGAGACGCCCGTTGACTGTTGAATCTAGAACATGTGAGTGCAGATACATGTGCTTGCTCTCCTGCGGGACATGACCTTCTTGAGCACGAGAACCCATTCCGGCTTTGAGTGCCCGGCATGCGGTGGGAGCTTTATAAATGCTCGTGAAACCACACCAGGCCCACCCTGTAAAGATGAACACCGGCTAATTGTTTGATTGTCTTGATTTCACTTAGAGAGTAAATTAAGAATTAGCGGCTGAAAGTTTATAGGAACCCTGTGTCCTGTTTGTACACCTCTTCTATAAATCTAAAATTACTTCAAAACCAAGGTGGATGTGCTTTCAGGCGAGCGTTAAAACAGAACTACCGTGGAGCAGGTGGGCTGTACAGAATATTGAACATATTTAACTATGAGAAACGCACTGTTTCTTCATCGGTGAGCTAAAGAATCTACATGGCTTAAAACTTGGAAGATTTGAAAATTTGTTTCACATATCTCTATATTGTTTCCAGGGTACTATCTACATGGGTTAAATACTTATAAATAAGCCCTTTTGAAAAAGATGTGGTTTTTCACCAATAGGAGGTTGTCAAAAACAGAGACTGTCTAAATGACAGCCCCCAGAAATTCGGATTCTGTAGGGTTGGGGTGCCGGCCCGGGAGCTGAACCTTCCTGTGAGTCCACGCCCCGCAGGGCTGAGAAGCTTTGGCCTTGGGGATGGTGGGTAGAATATTTGGGAACAATGACTACCCTCGGAGAGCTGGGATGTCCGCTTGGTTGAAGCAGAGCTTGGTAAAAAGGGGATTGGCATTCTTGTATTTGATCTCCATGACTTCCTCCTAGAAGATTCTGGAACCCTGATGCTGGCTAGGCACTGCTGTATTTGTACCCCTCATGAGCAGGTCACCTGGTCTCCTGGATACGTGTGTAGGGTCATTGTCCCTCATTCATTGGTTCATTGATTTATCTAGTGTTTGCGGAGTCCCCCATGTGTCCAGCACTGTCGGACACATCAGTGATCAAGACAGACCCTGATGGCCACACCCACATCCCCACAGGGCGCACCCAGCCCTGGGGCAGAGGGCGTGCAGAGAACCAGTGAATAGGGGCAGGAGGGAAGTGTCAGGGAATGAAGGCCCTGGGAGTGGCTGTCGGACAAAGACTGGCTGAGTTGGTGTAAGAACAGCCAAGTTCCCCCGCCCCTGGAGAGAGCGTTCTGAGGGTGTGTTTTATACCCTCCAGCGTTTCCCAGGAGAATTCCCTCCAGTCCCCACCTCGAAGTCCCCGGATTGGCCACTTTTCCTTTTTCCGTTTGTCGTCTCCCTTCCCCACCACCCAACCGGTGTCTCCTTCGCCTCCCAAAAGATTGCATGTGCATCCTTATCTTTTTTTTTTAATTTTTTTTTAATGTTTTATTTATTTCTAGGCGAGAGAGAGAGAGACAGCATGAGCAGGGGAGGGTCAGAGAGAGAGGGAGTCACAGACTGAAACAGGCTCCAGGCTCTGAGCTGGCAGTCAGCACAGAGCCCGACGCGGGGCTCAAACCCACGAACCGCGAGATCATGACCTAAGTGAAAGTCGGACGCTTAACCGACTAAGCCACCCAGGCGCCCCATGTGCATCCTTATCTTGAGGTCTGCATCTGGGGGAAGTCCCTGTCCTCGGAGCTTCTATTCTAGTGGGAGAGATGAGGACAGACACGATAGACCCCCCCCCACACACACACACACACCCACGAGGCCCCTCGCCACCGGCCTCCTCACTCACAGCCTCATGTGTTTCCCTTTCCAGGACTATCCTTCCTACCCTGGCTTCCCTCAGGGCCAGTATTCCCAGTATTACAGCTCGTCCTACAGCCCTCCGTACGTCCCGGCCAGCGGCATCTGCCCCTCCCCCCTCTCCACGTCCACCTACGTCCTCCAGGAGGCCCCGCACAGCGCCCCCAGCCAGGGTTCTGACTTGCTTGGCGGTAAGTGCAGTCGCTGTCTCCGGGTGCCTCTGGTCTGAGCATTCATAGGAAGGAAGGACTGGACATAGGTCCCGGCTGTCATCAACCAGTCCCCCAAAAGCTAAACCGAGCCCTCAGACATATATTGTTGACTGTGTGTGTGTGTTATGTGTTTCATTCCACCCATGGTTAAAATTTTACCCAGAAATCTCCTGAAAGCAGATCTGGACCTGTTGGCTTTGGTCTGCATTCCTAAGTGACAACAGTTGGCTGAGGCTGAGTAACGTCTGCCCCATCAGACGGGGCACGCATGATTCCACATCTGGCCAACTTACGTCAAGTTCATTACCTGCCTGGCCCCTGGAGGCACTGGGAACTGGTGAGCCCTACTCCTCAAAGAAGGGAAACTAGTATTTGTTGCCCATCCGTGATGTGCCAGGCACATATCTGCATGGTCTTCTCACTTCACTTATTTATATGCTGATTCAACAAATACTTATAAAGTACCTGCTATTTTCCAGATGCTCTTTAGTTTAGCAAGTAAAATAAAGTGCAACATAGACTTCCTGATTTTTGCAGCCGGGAATCAAATAATCACATAAGTACATAATTACAAACTATGATAAGGAAACTACAGCCCTCACAAAAACAGGTTTTCAGTTACCTCCTCTTTTCCAGATAAGAACAATGAAGGTCAGGGTGTAGTAGTTAGTGGAGTTGGGATTTGAACCCAGGCCTGCTGGGCTCCGTAACCAGAGCTCCTGGACACTCAGTAGCCACTCATCGCTGAGATTATGTTCTCTAAAACCCATCTGAGAACAGAAGGGCAGCGGCCTTCAAACCTTGGTTCTCTCTTACCGAGAATTCTAGAATGTTTTTTAAAAATCTTCACGCGCGGACCTTTCCAATAGCACAACGGTTTTATTAGGAATCCCCTTTACTGGTCAGGTTGTTTTGGCTTCAAAAGATAGAAAAGGCAATTTAAACTACTAGTTTAAGCAAAAAAAAAAAAAAAAAAAGGGAATTTTTAGTGTATGTCACATCAGGATGTACAAGGATTTGGGGCTGGGTCCGGAGGTTCAGATGATAATATTGGGGCTCAGTCTCTTTCTTCCTCTGGCTCTGCATTTTCCTGGGTTCATTTCACTCTCAAGCAGGCTTTCCCATTATGGTGTCAAAGATGGTCACCAGCTGCTCCAGGATTCAGCCCTACCTTCTTATCGACCCCTCAGAGAGAGTTTCTCCTTCCTAACAGCTGCTCCCGAGGTCCCAGATAATGCCCCCGTTGGCCCAGCCTAGGTCACATACCTGTCCTCACACCAGTCCCCGCGGCAGTGGAGGGAATGCTGGTCTTGTGCCCACAGCTGGAGCTAGAGTTGGGTCATCCCCACCCAGACCGTGTGGACTGAGTGAGAAACCCAGAGCACACTACCCAGAGGAAGACAGAAGAGACCCTGGGTGGGCCAGAGTGACAAGTATCTACTACCTATGGAGCCCACCTAGATTAGGAGCAAGGTGTGGGAGAGCCCATGAGCCGGCCCTTGGGTGACGTACTTCCCTGTGCACCCAACGCATCCCTTTCAGGGACTATGCACATATCTTCTCTTTCGTACAGTGGTTTCGGCCTCTTATCGTTCAGTGACGTGGCAGCAGTGAATTAGAACGTCCAGATGTAAAGTAGATGTCCTTGCGTTTGGTTCTCTTTTCTTTTCAGTGGATTTTTCAGAACCCAGCGATTCTCTGGCCAGTAGAAGCTGAGCGAGCATGACAGTGTTTGGACAGCCATTCAGGAACTATTGGTTGATGTTTAGAAAAAGAGTAAGAGTGGAGACCAACTCCTTTTGTTCCCTGGGCTTCTTGGTACAGCCATTGCTTTTAGCCCTTCTAGTTTTCATCACTGGGGACATGTTAATTATCCTTGGCTTGGTGACAAATGGAAACAACGTGGCCAGGCATTCTTAAGTCAATTTTTAAGGAAGTTGAGGGCTAAACATTGATTTTGATCATTGTGATTTCATCACAGAGTATTTAATGCATGCATAGTACCTATGTAACAGTTCCCAAATTGCTTGCTTTGAAGGGTATGAAACTGAACAAACTTTTCTCGGTGGCCAAGATTGGGGCCCCTCCAAACCAGCTTCAGAGAGGAAATAGAAGCAGGAAATCCTCAAGTAGACGCCACTACCTACGTATAATTTGGAACTGGATTCCAAAGACTTACTTCCCAAGAATTTGGGGTATGCGGGAAGGGTATCTTTGTTCCCTCTCAAGAGCAAACATAAAGGTTCATTGTGTCCCTTTGAAATTTTTCTTTATTGTTTCCCCCTGTTCATCATTTATCCTTTGGTCTAAGGTTCAACAATAAGTGCTTGAGATGGTTTTTACTGTGTGTCTAACAAACTCACATAAAATCTAATGACATAAATAATCGTCAGCTATAACTGAGGTCTCTTGCCTCTTTTCCCCAGTGTCTGTTATAAAGGAAAGGCATGTAAGCATGCATGTATGCACATGCGCGCGCACATGCGCGCGCGCACACACAGACTCTTAAAATCTCCCATAAAAACCCCACTTTTGAAACTATCCAGGATCTCTTTGAGTGGTTGGCTCCAAATTCCAGAGCCTCAGGAGGTTTATATCTTACCGACAGATCATGCTCCTTCTCCGCATTGCCCGGATACAGTATCCCGATGCTTGTCTCCACCCCCAGCCCAGTCTGCACTGACATGCATTAAGAGACATAGGAAGTCCCAACAATTTACAGATGATTCCAGGGCAATTTGCTGATAGAGAGGGCAAAATCTGAACATATGATGTTACCCAAGAGAAAAGACAAATTGGTAGTGGTTGCTTAAGGCCGTTTTTTCTTTTCAAACTTTTAAGTATGATGCAGATTATCTAAAAAGATAACTGGACAGACATTGGAGCTCCTGGTTCACAGGCCTTTGGACTCAAGGGCTTAACAGCAGTGGGGGTCCCACCCCTCCAGACTCCCCCTACCCCCAGTTCTCAGGCCTTCAGCCTCAGACTGAATTATACCACTGACTTTCCTAGTTTTCCAGCTTGCAAACAACAGATTGTGGGACTTTGTGACCTCTGTAACTGCATGAGCCAATTACTATAATAAATCTCCTCATACACACACACACACACACACACACACACACACAGGAGAACACTGACTAATACACCGTGGGTCAAAGGGGGGAAAAAAGGAAAATTTAAAAGTATTTTGAACTTAATGAAAATGAAAACACAACATGTCAAAATTCACAGCATGTCACTTAGCAGTATGTAAAGGAAATTTATAGCACAAATGCTTGTGTTAGAAAAGAAGAAAAATTTCAAGCCAAATACCTCACCTTCTACCTTAAAAAACTAGGAAAAGAAGAGCAAATTATCCTCAAAGTAAAAAGAAGAAAGGAAACAATAAAGACCAGAATGGAAATCAATGAAATTCAAGAACAGAAAAACAAGAGAGAAAATCAGTGAAACCAAAAGCTGATTCTTTAAGAAGACAAATAAAGTTGATAAAACTTTAGATAGGATGATACAGAAAAAAGAGAGAACACATAAATTACCAATAATTGAGAACAGTGACATCTCTACAGGCCCTACAGATATTAAAAGGATAATAATGCAATTTTGTGAACAACATCATGCCAATAAATTCAACAGCTTAGATGAAATGGACAAATGCCTTACAGGACAAAAACTTCCAAAGCCCCCTCAAGAAGAAATAAAGGACCTAAACAGACCTTATTTTTAACAGGCCTATATGTATTCAATAAACCGAATTTTGTATTAGAAACCTTCCCACAAAGAAATCACCAAGCCCTGATGGCCTCGCTGATTAAAGATACCAAAAATTTAAGTAAGAAACATCAACTATACACCAATTTTTAAAGAAAATTGAAGAGGAAAGAATACTTCCCAACTTATTCTGTGAGGCCAGCATTAGCCTGATGCCAAAACGAGACAAAGACATTATAAGAAAAGGAAACTATAGACCAGTATCCCTCATAACAAAATTTCTAAATAAAATATTAGCAAATCAAGTTGAGCAATACATGAAAGAAGAATAATACATTATGACCAAGTGGGCTTTATCCCAAGGATGCACAGTTGGTTTAAAATTTGAATATCAATAGGGGCGCCTGGGTGGCTTAGTCTGTTAAGCATCTGACTTTCGTTTAGGTCATGATCTCGTGGTTCGTGGGTTCGAGCACCGTGTCGGGCTCTGTGCTGACTGCCAGCTCAGAGCCTGGAGCCTGTTTCAGTCTGTGACTCCCTCTCTTTCTGACCCTCCCCTGCTCACGCTGTCTCTCTCTCTCTCCTAGAAATAAATAAAAACATTAAAAAAAATTTAAAAAAATAAAATTTGAATATCAATATAATTTGCCGTATTAACTAACTGTAAAGAAAAAAAAGAGAGATCATCTCAATAGATGCAGAGAAAGCATTTGACAAAAGTTATCATCTGTTCCTTAGTAGAAGGGAACTTTCTTTATTAGAAAAAGACATGCTGTGGACTGAATGTTTGCATCCCCCTCCGGATTCATATGTTGAAGTCTTATTCCCCAATGTGACGGTGTTTGGAGGTGAAGGTCTTAGGTAATTAGGTCATGAGGATGGAGCCCTCATGAATAGGGTTAGTGCTATCATAAGAAGAGACATACAGGGCGCCTGGGTGGCTCAGTCAGTTAAACGTCTGACTTTGGCTCAGGTCATGAGCTCAGTGGTTCCCGAGTTTGAGCCCTGTGTTGGGCTCTGTGCTTACAGCTCAGAGCCTGGAACCTGCTTCCGATTCTGTCTCCCTCTCTCTGCCTCTCCTCTGTTCACAGTCTGTCTCTCTTTCCCTCAAAAATAAATAAATGTTAAAAATTTTAAAAAAGAAGAGACACGAGAGATAATCTCTGTCTCTCCACCATATGTGGATACAGCAAGAAGGCATCCATCTGAAAACCAGAAAGAAGCCCTGACTAGGAACAAAATTGACCAGTGCCCTGATCTTGGACTTCCTAGCCTCCAGAAATGTAAGAAATATATCTTTGCTGTTTGAGCCACTCAGTCTGTGACATTTTTGTCATAGCAGCCCAAGCTGACTAAAATAGGATAGCTGCAAAAAACCTACAGCTACCCCCAAGATCAGAAACAAGACAAAGATGTCCACTCTTGCCAATTTTATTCAACATTGTACTAAAGATCCTAGCCAGTGCAATAAGGCAAGAAAAATAAATTAAAATCTCCATATTGGAAAAGAAGCAAAACTTCATAAAAGGAAAAGAAGTAAAATGAAATGACCACCTAAGTAGGAAATTAGATAGAATTTATTTAAAAGCTAGAACTAAAAAGTGAGTTTAGTGGGCCACCTGGATGGCTCAGTCAGTTAAGTGTCCAACTTCAGGTCAGGTCATGATCTCCTGGTTTGGGGTTTGCGCCCCACATCAGGCTCTGCACTGACAGTGTAAAGCCTGCTTAGGATTCCTTCTCTCCCTCTTGCTCTGCTTCTCCCTGACTCACTCTCTCTTTCTTTCTTTCTCTCTCTTTCAAAATAAATAAAAATAAAATTAAAGTAATAAAATAATAAAATATTTTTTAAAAATAAATAAAAAGTGAGTTTAGCAATGTTTCAGACTACTAAGTGAATGTATGAAAATTGATTCTATTTCTATACAGTGACAACAAACAGTAGGAAATAGAATAATTTTAAATGCCATTTATATACAGTATTATCAAAAAATATGGAATGCTTGGGGATAGATCTGACAAATGATGTGCAAGAGTTGGACACTTAAAATTACAAAGCTCTACTGAGAGAAAAAGACTGTAGTTAGTGGAAAGATACACCTCGTTCACAGCTCAGAAGACTTAATATTTTTAAGATGTCAGTCCTCCACAAACTGATCTATATATTTAACAGTCTCTGTCAAAATCCCACTCATTTCTGTAGAGATTGGCGAGCTGATTCTGAACTTCGTATGGAAATACAAAGGACCTAGAATAGCCTCAACAGCTCTGATAAAGAAGAAAAGTTGGAAGGCTAACACCACCTGATTTTAAGACTTATTACAGAGCTGTGGTAATCACTATATACGGTATTGACATAAAGACAGACAAGTAGGTCAACGAACCAGAATAGAGCTTGCAGAAATAAACCCACATGTATACGGACAAGTGATTTTTTTGACGAAGTTTCAAAGACAACTCAGTGGAGAAAGGATAATCTTCTCAACAAAAGATCCTTGAACAACTGGATATGTATGTTCAGAAAACCTGTACTTCAAACCATACCTGACATGACATAAAAAAAGTTAACATAGACTAGATCATAGACCAGGGTTACCTAGGTGGCTCAGTCAATTGAGCGTCTGGCTCTTGATTTCGGCTCAAGTCATGATCCTAGGGTCGTAAGATCAAGCCCCGCATTGCCCAGCATGGAGCCTGCTTGGGATTCCCTCTCTCTCTCTCTCTCTCTCTCTCTCTGCCCCTCCCCTCAACTCATGCTGTCTCTCTAAAAATAAAAATGAAAAGAAGAATAGATCATAGGCCTAAGTATAAAACTGTGAAACTTCTATAGAAAACAGGAGAAAATCTTTGTGACTTTGGGTGAGGCAAAGAGTTCTCATATATGACAACAAAAACATCCAAAAAGAAAAAAAGAGAAAATATATATATAAATTTATATATATTTATACATGTATATGTATCTTTATATAAATTTATAAACATTTATATAAAAACATAATTGTATAATTATATTTATAATTGTATATTTTGTAAAATATAAATTATATACTTATGTATATTTACATATATATAAATTGGACTTCATGAAAATTTAAAACTTTTGCTCTTTAAAAAACAATGTCAGGAGAATGAAAAGACAAGCCACAGTTTGGGAATAAATAATTGCAAAGCAGGTATCTGATAAAGTAAGTTGTATTAGAGTTCTCCGAAGAAACAGAGGCAGTAGGAGAGAGAGATAAGAGGAAAGCTATTATGAGAAATAGCTCAGATCAGCAAGCCCCACGATTTGCCTCCTGCCAGCCGGGGGTCCAGGAAAGCCAGCAGTGCGGTTCAGTCGGAGTCAGAAGACCTGAGAAACAGGAGCTCTGGTACCTGAGGCAGGAAAAGATGGACATCTGAGCTCGAGAAGAGAGAGAATTTACCCTTCTTCTGCCTTTTTGTTCTGTTTGGGCCTCAGTGGAAGGGGTGATCGCCCCCTCCCCCACATTGGTGACAGCAGATCTCTACTCAGTCTCCTGATTCAAATGCTAGTCTGTCTCCTCTGGATGCACCCTCACCGACACACCCAGAAATAATGTTTTACCAGCTCTCTGGGCATCACGTAGCCCATGAACTTGACACACAAAATTAACCATAACATATATGGATGCAGAATATATAAGGAATTCTCAAAACCCAAGACTAAGAGAACAAACAACTCAATAATGAAATGGACAAGATATTTGAGCAGATGCTTTACCAAAGAAGATACAGAGATGGCAAAAAAAAAAAAAAAAAGTACATAATTAAGAGGCTGATCATTAGTTATTAAAGAGGGGCAAATTAAATCCACAAGAAGGACCACCATGTACCCCTTGGAATGGCTGTAATCACGAAGACTGACCATACCAAAGGTTGGCAAGGATGTGGAGCAACTAGAACTCTCTTACCTAATGGCAGGAATGTGAAATGGTACAACCACTTTGGAAAACAATTTAGCAGTTTCTTAAAAAGTCAACAACCTCGTCATCACGCCAGTGAGAAGAAAGCTTCCATCCCTACAAAGATTGATGTGTGAATGTTCATAGCAGATCTTTTTCGGCCCCAAACTAGAATCTACCCAAATGTCCATCCACAAGTGAGCAAAGTAGAAGTGTGGTACATCTGTACAATAGAATAGTACTCAGTGACACAAAGGAATGAACTATCAGTATACATAACCACATGGACTGAATCACAAAATGATTATGCTGGCTGAAAGAAGCCAGGCAAAAACGAATATATATATACTGTGTGATTCCATTTGTTTAAAACTCTAGAAAAAGCAAACTAATTTCTAGCAAGAGAAAAGGTATCAGTAAATGCCTGGGGCATGGGGTAAGAGGAAGAGGTCACAAACAGATTATAAGGAAAATCTTGGAGGTTCTTTAAAAGCCTAAGGAGGAAAGGAGAAAAAGGGAAATGACTCCAAGGAGGGTTTACATAAATTGCTGTAGCCTGTGTACCTCTGACTGTGACCTTGAACCTTCACCCTTCATTCACTGGGAAAGGGGCTGCTTCTTGGTTCTGCCTTTACCGCTGGTTTGCAGGGTGACACAGACTGACATCATCTCACTTTGAGAGTGAAATAAGTCTACGGCCATACCACCCTGAACGCGCCCGATCTCGTCTGATCTCGGAAGCTAAGCAGGGTTGGGCCTGGTTAGTACTTGGATGAGAGAGTGAAATAAAGTCAGTACGCGTTCAAAAAAAAGTCATACATTTCAAACTTCTGTGCTTAACACACAACCTGGATGCTGGCTTTGGGACCCGGGTTCCGGGAGGGTGTACAGCTCACTCGTGTGGGGCTCCCGGACAGTGGGCTGAAGGGCAGGAGCACGGCAGCCTCTCTGCGCAGAAGCACCGCCTGAATGGAAGCAGCAGGTGACTGCCTCCTGCCCTGCACCTTCTCACTGACCCCTGCCGTGTGTGGATCAAGCCAGAACTCAGTTCAGATCATTTCCTGGTTACCCTGAGCGCCAGCCCCGTGTCGAGTGCTTTTGTGGATGTAATCTCCCTTAAGTCTCAAATTGACAAAGCATCTTGACAAGTCAAGCTTTAAAGGGCTTGCTTTTTTTTTTAATTTTTATATGTTTTTTTTATTTTTGAGAGAGAGAGAGAAACAGCACGAGTCAGGGAGGTGCAGAGAGAGAGGGAGTCACAGAATCTGAAGCAGGCCCCAGGTTCTGAACTGTCGGCACAGAGCCTGACACAGGGCATGAGACCATGACCTGAGCCAAATCTGGAAGCTTAACCAACAGAGCCACCCAGGCGCCCCAAGGGCTTGCTTTTAATAGAAAAATGGGGCCGGCCACACAGGGAGAGCAGCATAGAGAACGCTCCCCCACGCCTCCCTTTCTCCCCAAAGTTGGGGGGCAGGGCGGCTCTTCAAGATAGAAGAATTTGAGGCCCTGCTCCAGGCAGATACTGACTTTCTTCTTTCTGATTCATCTGGGGAGTCGCAGGCTTCAGGATAGAGTTGCAAACACTGTCAGTAGAGCTTCCCCAACAGCCCCCCCCACTTCCTTGGATTCTGCTCAGGTGTCCCCTTAACTGTGAGGCTCTCCCTGACTAGCCCCATACCAGTTAGTGACCTCCCAGCATTCTCCGCCCCCAGGCCATTTGCTAATTCTTGGTAACACACAGCCCTGCCTGGCATGTTACATACTCACTTGTCTAAGGTGCTTCTCCTGTCTCTAGAAGCTAAGTGCTGTGAGACCCAGTACCTCCTAGAAGCTGAGTATTGTGAGAAAAGTACCTCCTAGAAGCTGAGTACTGTGAGACCAGTACCTCCTAGAAGCTGAGTGCTGTGAGATCCAGTACCTCCTAGAAGCTGAGTGCTGTGAGATCCAGTACCTTCTAGAAGCTGAGTACTGTGAGACCAGTACCATCTAGAAGCTGAGTGCTGTGAGAACCTGTACCAGGAACTCTGCCCACTCAGTGATCTTTACTCGATGAATGAATGACCCCGAGTAGACAGCCTGAGGGACCATCACAAGCAGTTTTGAGTCCCTGAGATCTTTGCCTTCTGTGCTGCCTTTGGGACCTACCACTTTGGAGTTGTTTTTGGTGTGATATTTCCCGGGCGGAGACACTCCGCAGAGCTTCTGACATGTCCACGCTTCCCTTTCTGACACCAGGGGAATATAACTCGCACAATGGACCTTCCACGCCGGCGAAGGAGGGAGACACCGACAGGCCGCCCCGGGCCCCCGACGGGAAGCTCCGCAGCCGGTCCAAGCGGAGCAGCGACCCCTCCCCAGCGGGGGACAGTGAGATCGAGGTAACTCCAGACTGCCTGTGTGACTTGGGGAATGTAATCCCCAGCTGTGGCCGGAACAGGAGGCGGGGGGGGGGGGGGGGGGGGGGGGGGGGGGGAGTCGTGTCCATGCACACAGGGGGGCTCTGAGTTCACAGACTCGGTATCAGAACACTCGAGGGGAAAGGAGAGGAGGATGGCGTGGGCCGTCAGGAAGCACTGTTGACTGTCCAGGCTAGGAAAAGTCACCCTGGGGACAGTAAAGAACTCGGGTTCTCAAACGTAGATGGCTGCAGAATCACCTGGAGGCTTGTGAAAACCCAGGTGGCGTGGCCCCGCCCACAGTTTCCGAGTTAGTAGATGGGGGCGGGGCCTGAGAACAGGCACCTCCAGCTTGTTCTCAGATGATGCTGACGTTGCAGGGTTGGGGAGCACACTTGGAAAGGCCCTGGTGAAGACACCAGGGGGCAGTGGACCTTCCCAGCTGGGTCCAAGGGTTCTTACCCTGCTCATATTACTATCAGCTGGCATGCTCTTTAAAATTCAGGTACCCAGGCCCCATCCCAGACTAATTAAACTACACATTGCAAGGGAGTTTTGTAAGTTCCCCTCATGATTCTGATATGGCTTGGGTATTTATCTATCAGGAGACAGGAACCCGCCTCTGCTTGCATCGTTTCTATGATTCTGAGTTTCGTAGAAGGTTCTTAGAACCTTCATTCTCAAGCTACATCCCAGCAGCTTGGATTAAATCCAGCTCCCTGAGGCAGGGACCCAGGCATCAGTATTTAAAACTGCCCAGGTGAAATTTCTTACTTGACACATCCCCAAAGGCAAGGGAATCAAGAGCAAAAATGAACTATTGGGACCTCATCAAGATTAAAAGCTTCTGCACGGCAAAGGAAACAATCCATAATACTAATAGGCAACTGACGGAATGGGAAAAGATAGTTGCAAAGGACATATCAGATAAAGGGCTAGTATCCAAAATCTATAAGGAACTCACCAAACTCCACACCCAAAAAACAAACAATCCAGTGAAGAAATGGGCAGAAGATATGAACAGACACTTCTCCAAAGAGGACATCCAGATGGCCAACAGACACATGAAACGATGCTCAGCATCCCTCCTTAACAGGGAAATACAAATCAAAACCACACTGAGATCCCACCTCACACCGGTCAGAGTGGCTCGAACGAGCAAATCAGAGGACTCTAGATGCTGGCAAGGCTGTGGAGAAACGGGCACCCTCCTACACTGTTGGTGGGAATGTAAACTGATGCAGCCCCTCTGGAAAACAGTGTAGAGGTTCCTCAAAAAATGAACAATAAAACTCCCCTATGACCCAGCAATAGCACTGCTAGGAATTTACCCAAGGGATACAGGAGTGCTGATGCATAGGGGCACGTGTACCCCAATGTTCATAGCAGCACTCTCAACAACAGCCAAAACATGGAAAGAGCCTAAGTGTCCATCAACGGACGAATGGATCAAGAAGATGTGGTTCATCTATACGATGGAATACTCCATGGCAATGAGAAAGAATGAAATCTGGCCATGTGTAGCAACATGGATGGACCTTGAGGGTGTTATGCTGAGAGAAATAAGTCAGGCAGAGAAGGACAAATAAAAAATGTTTGCACGTATAGGAGGATTAGGAGGAACTTAACGGAGGAACAAGGGAGAGAAGAAGGGGGAAAATAGTTGGGGAGAGGGAGGGAGGCAAACCATGAGAGACTCTTGAATGCTGAGAACAAACTGAGGGCTGATGGGAGTGGGGGGGAGGGGAAGGGGGGTGATGGGCATGGAGGAGGGCACTTGTGGGGATGAGCACTGGGTGTTATATGGAAACCAGCTTGACAATAAACTATTTAAAAAATAAAAAAAATAAAATTGCCCAGGTGATTTCCGGAACGCAGCCCCAGCTGGTCTAAGGGGTGTGCCAGTCTTTATTGTAATAAAGCCAAGCGTAAGATTATTGGTCACCTGCCAACACTTTCCCGAACAAACAGAAAAGAACAGCATACACGGGAGAAGGGGAAGGGTGCTAGTGGAGGCAGAGGTGGCAGAGGCAAAACATGCCCAAAGAACAGATAGGAGCAATTGATAGATATCTAGGGAGGAAAAAATGTGCAGGTTCGTTAGTTCGTGCTTCGCAAAAGGCAGAAATAATAGGAGGACCCATCTGTTGGCTTGAGTGTGCTGTGGGTGTATGGGCAATATTGGCAAAGCCTGGCTCCGGGCCAAGAAAGTCCAATGCACCGTCATCCCGTCTCTGTTCATAATCCTGTACAATTTATGCAGCCGCTACAGAGCTCAGCCCACAAGCTCAGAGATGCTGAGAAATACCGTTTCCATCATCTCCTTAAAGTCATTGTCATTTTGACTCGGAGTCCCCATCCCATCAGGTGGTAAGAAACTCCACCTCATCATTGGGGCCCCTTGTACCTGGAATTGTATGAGAGTCTCAGGGCTCAAGAGGTCTCAGAAAACAGAATAAGAACCTCTCGTGTCCAGGATTCGAGGCGGTGGCTGCTCCCTTCCTCGTTGTCAGTACCTGCCGTGGTCAGTGAAAGTCTAGCCGTTCTCTGGGGTTTCCGTGTCACACGCTGGGCGTTGAAATCCTCCTCAAGGATGAGAACCTTGGAGCATGAGATACAATCCTTCGGTTGCGAGCGACAGAAACCAGTTCTGGCTACGTGAGCAGAAAACGAATTTCCTAGAAGGGAACAACACTGTGGAGGGAAAGTCATCGAACCAAAGTTAGAAACAACAGTAACCAGCCAAGACGAAGGAACCGAGGGCAGCTGCAGGCTGCCGGCCCCTGGTGAAGAATAAGCCATGTGAGATTCTAGTGGCGCTTCACTCAACGTCTCAGTCCGAGGACAGGGCATCCACCGGCCTGACTCGGGTGCTAGGCTTGCCCTTGATCGACAGTCCCACCAAGACAGCAGAAAAGAAAACCAGGGTCCCCTTATCAAACAGGGATGAATGCTGGGGGCCAAGCACAAACACCCACCACCAGGGCATTTGAGATTTAGCCAGTGTTCACTAGTAGAGCTGTACTAGTTAGCATTCACTAGTAGAGCTGAACTAGTCAGCCAGCATTCACTGGTAGAGCTGTGGTACCCAACAGGGCCAGCGTCGCTCCAGCTCTCTTAGAAGGTGTTGCATATTCTGAATACCACACTGTCTCCTCCCCTTGGCCGGCCTCCCGAGGTATACCAGCAGCCACTCAGGCTGAAAACTTGACCCCTGCAGACCTACCACAGAGCAAGCGTTCCCACTGCCCATGGGACCAGACTCAGGCCACAGGATTTGTTCCTGCTTTTCCTCTAATTCTTAGAGCCCTCTCTTTCCGAGACCGAGGAGGCTTCGCACCGTCCCCTCTGCAGGATTTAGGCCTTTGCCAACGGCTGGAAGACACTCTGTGTGCCTCAGCTTGTCCCTGAGTTTTCTGCATCCCCTTTTCCTGAGGATTTCCACCAGCTTCCAGTCGCGGATCTGTGGAAGTCACAGAGAGCGGCACACACGTGAATGTCTTTTTTCTTTTTTCATTATTCAGTCACTTAACATGGCTTCTGCTCTTGGTGGGGAGGGAGAGTCATTTTCCACTAAACTGAGAAGGCAGTGGGGGTGGCATGGAAGTCGAAGATCACGGGGCGACATGATTCTGGAAACATCTGCTTCTCGATTCCAGAGGAAGGTACCACTGGGCAAGAGCAGTTGAAAAGGTGTGAGCTGTGTTTCACTTCTGTGCTTAACGTCAGCATGCGGGCTTTGCACGGGTCGCACCTCCTAAGTCTTCGGCAGTTTTGCTAATGACTGAAGCCCATGAGAGGGAGACGATGTGGCGAAGTGGAAAGGAGGGAAATTCTGAGCGTATATTAGTTAAAATCCATCGACTGCAGGTGCCAGAAACCCACTTGAGCTGGCTTAAGTGGAAAAGCAGAATCTATTTTAGGGATACAGAAGATTCTCTTAGAACCCAGGGCGGGGAAGAGCGGAGGGTCCGCAGGATACGGAACCGGAAGGTGGACGGCGCCCGGAAGTGCGTTTGCGCCTTCCCTCCGCGCCGCAGGAAGGTGCCGACATCCCCAACCGTGGTGTCTCAGCGGCGCCCGCAGGCACTGGTGCCTGGGCTCTGCCGCCTCCAGCCTCCCTCCGTTTCGGACTGAAACCAGGCCCTGGCAAAGTGTGGGGTGGTTTCCATCGTTCATCCCTCTTTTCCGTGCTCTCTACAGACTGGCCCTCCCTGCCCTTCAGATCGTGCGGCCGCCAGTGGCCACTAAACATGATGAATGTCTTTCTGGGTTCTAACTTCAAGTTTCCAAGGAAAAGTCCTCTGACCCGGTTGGGTCTGGGGCTCTCCCCGGCCCAGACCATGATGGGCCAGGGAGGAGGGTCAGTGCAGCACGGCCACCGGGAACTTACCCACCCAGGGTCTAGGACGGGGGGGTAGAGTTGTAGGGAGAGCACAGACTTTCTTCTTCCGAGGCTATGTAGCAGCTAAATGGATGCCGTCTGCATTCCGTTTGAAAATACTCACTGATTTTTTTTTTAATTCCCTTACCAAACTCTTAAGTTCTAATTCCCTTACCAACTAAGTTCATTTATTTTTTTTTAAGTTTATTTATTTTTGAGAGAGCTCGCTCGCATAAGCGAGGGAGAGGCAGAGAGAGGAAGACACAGAATCTGAAGCAGGCTTCAGGCTTCAAGCTGTCAGCACAGAGCCTGACATGGGGCTCGAACTCACGAACCCTGAGATCATGTCCTGAGGTGGAGTCAGACGTTTAACCAAATGAGCCATCGTGACTTCCCGATCCAACTGAGTTCAGATAAATTAGGACTTGGCAATTGAAACCCAGAAGCCGTCCTTAAAAACAATAGTTTTAAAACCTCTTTTTTTTTTTACCATGACCCATAATAATAATCATAGTTAGTACTGTGACCCAGCACACACATAAATACAATGAGACCAAAACAACTCACAAAATAATCCTCAGATCTGCCAGTTGCTTTGAAAACCCCTGCACTGACTGACCTTTTCCTCCTAGAGGCCACCCTTCTCTTTACTGTTAAAGGCATGGCAAATGCCCATGTGTTAAAATCAGCCATTCATCTCCAGAGAGGTTTCAAGGTGGCCCATTCAAGATGGCGGACCTAGTAGGTAGGTGCCAATACCAGCGACATACACAGTCAATCAGGCCCTATGCCCCTAAAGACCGTGATCACCAGGAAAATGAGGAAAGGCAACAGTGTGGAAAATAAGGGCCATGATAAGTTAATAGGCTACATGACAGGTAATTTAAAAAAACAGAAAAGAACTTCAGAAAACTCTGAGCAGTTTTCTTATAAAGATCCAGGGAGGGGCACCTGGGTGGCTTAGTCGGTTAAGCGTCCGACTTTAGCTTAGGTCATGATCTCACGATTCGTGGGTTCGAGCCCCGCGTCAGGCTCTGTGCTAACTGCCAGCTCAGAGCCTGGAGCCTGTTTCAGAGTCTGTCACTCCCTCTCTCTCTGACCCTCCCCTGTTCACGCTGTCTCTCTCTCTCTCTCTCTCTCTTAGAAATAAATAAAACATTTAAGAAAAAAAAAAGATCCAGGGAGCTCTTACATCCATAAAACAAGCATTGGAGGTTGTCAGGAAGGAAATACTCAGAGACAAAGAAAGAGTCACTGGAAATTTTTAAATGACAGAATCAGAAGTTTAAAAGAAGGGTTGGAAGAAACCTCCCAGAACACAGATCAAAAAGACAAAATTCTAGAAAAAATTTTTTTGAGTATAAGCAGTATCAATCTAAAAGGTCTAATTTGACTGTCGGGAATTCCAGCAAGAGAGAACATGGTGGAAAAGGTGGAAATCATGAGAAATAAGATCGAAAATGCATAGGTGCTGAACAGTATGAATGAAGAAAGACCACACCTAGGTTTGTCCTCATGGAATCTGAAGACAGCGTGTGTAAAGGAAAGGTCTTAAAATATCCAAGAGAAAGAGCCCAAATGTCCACAACTGATGAATGGATAAAGAAGATGTGGTGTATCTATTCAGTGGAATATTACTTGGCAATGAGAACGAATGAAATCCTGCCATTTGCAACAGCGTGGATGGAACTGGAAGGTATTATGCTAAGTAAAATAAGTCAGAAAGACAGATATCATATGTGTTCACTTATTTGTGGAATTTGAGAAACTTAGAAGACCATGGGAGAGGGGAAGGGGAAAAAACAGTTACAAACAGAGAGGGAGGCCAACCATCAGAGACTCTTTTTTTTTTTTTAATGTTTTTTTTTATTTATTTCTAGGAGAGAGAGAGAGACAGCGTGAGCAGGGGAGGGTCAGAGAGAGAGGGAGTCACAGACTGAAACAGGCTCCAGGCTCTGAGCTGGCAGTCAGCACAGAGCCCGACGCGGGGCTCGAACCCACGAACCGCGAGATCATGACCTAAGCGAAAGTCGGGCGCTTAACCGACTAAGCCACCCAGGCGCCCCCATCAGAGACTCTTAAATACAGAGAACAAACTGAAGGTTGATGTGGGGACAGAGGACAGGGGGAAATGGGTGATGGGCATCGAGGAGGGCACTTGTTGGGATGAGCACTGGATCTAACCCCAAAACCAAAAGCACACTGTACACACGGTATGGTAGCTTAACTTGACAATAAATGATATTAAAAATAAATAAGTAAAATTAAAGATGGACCGGAAAAAATATATAACAATAAAATAAAAATAAAATATCCACAAGAGTGAAAAAGCAAAACCTACAAAGGACTAAAGATCAATGAAACATGACAGTCCCCATCAGTCACACCGGACACTACGAGATAATGGAGGAATTCTTTCAAACATCCACGGGACATGATTTTCCCGTTGGAATTCTGTACCCACAGGTACCATAGAGCAAAAGGACAATAGATCAGAAAGGTAGGAATTCTGCACAGTTACTTTCCAGACACCCTTTCAGAAAAAGCAGCTTCAGGATCGACTCAAGCGAAACAAGGAAGAAAACCAAGAGAGAGACCTAGGGTCCAGGAAACAGTTGATCTTGTCCGGAGATGCAGTGCAAGAAAGGGTCAGGATGCTGGCTTTGCAGCAAGCCTGAAGATAATCCAGGCCACATTGGAGCATTCTGTCACTGAGGATGAACATCTTTGATCCAGCAGATGTGGCCGAATTTGAGACTCTAATGAAAGTACATCATTAGAAACAAGAAAAAAATTAAAGCAAGTCATGAACTCCCACAAAAATAAAAAGTTATTCCAGACGGGCATGGTTCCTATGTAGAGCAAACTGGCATACGGCATGGTTTCTAATTGGGAAGGAGCGCAGGGAAGGATGTGACCATAATGGTAGGAACAATCTCCTGAATGTGGCTCTGGGCTTAGGACATTGTACACCCAGAGAAGGAGGCGAACCCCAGCATGGTACTTGGCTCTGCAGTGAACAGCGATCACAAGATGTGAATGCCCTTCTCTCGTTACTAACTTTGAAAATCAACGTAGAGACAGAGCACAGAAGATTAAAGTACAGCTATGAAACCACATGCACGGATCGGTTTATCCACACTTGAGGTGCAAAAGAAAGCCTAACACTGCCAAATGGCGTGGAGGGGAGGAGGTGGAGGCAGGGTGAGGACCCAACAGCCACAATCTTCCGTGTGGGATTTACTTTCCGCCAGGGAGAGTGTCCAAAGTAGATAGACTTGGAAGCAGAGGGGCTCACGTGTGTGAAAAGTGTGCAGTCCTGGAGAAACGAGGGAGATTGACATGAGCTAAACCCTCATCTTTCACATTACTAAGTCAAGGGCTATTGTCTAAAGTTGGCTAATCAGGAAGTGAAAAGGCATAAGTGTGTTACGTAGAGCTATGAAGGCAATGGCCCAAACTGCTAAAAACAGGAGTGTTTAGAAGTCGTCTGGCTCAGGGTGAGCGGGTGAATGTAAAATGGTAGGACTTCATTTTTTCAGATGAGTTATATGATTTTTATTGTTGTTTTTGGACTGAGCTCCTCCATTTTCGACCTTTTATGTGGAAGGCAGGAACTGGCTTCTTGGTTCCACCATCGAGGGTTTGATAGGAGCCCAGAATTGGCCATCAGAATACACTTTACACGGCTGAGGTTGGATGGGGACCCAGTGACACATCAGTGAGTCATATGTTTTGTAACTTAAAGATAATGTTTTTCAAGATTTCTTTCTCCTCCCAGGGAATTAATCTCTGCAGACGTTAAGTCAGATGCAAGCGAGTCCATTTGTCTCCATTCTCTTCCTCTCTTTCATCACAGCGTGTGTTCGTGTGGGATTTGGATGAAACGATAATTATTTTTCACTCCTTACTCACCGGGACTTTTGCCTCCAGATATGGGAAGGTAAGAATCCATGTTGTGTCTTCTCTCTCTCTCTCTCTTTTTTTTTTTTTTCCCCATACGACCGTCCGTCCAGCTGGTTTGTCCTGGGAATTGTGGGGGCAGTTTATGAGGCAGCTACTCCAACAAAAGCTACCCCTCTGGGTCAGTCTGGGTTGAGAGCTCCTATGGAATTTTCCCTCGACATGTGAAAATTTAATTAGCTTCCCCTTCTGCCGTCCCCCATGCCTTTCTTCCAACCCAAGAAGCGCTCAGCATCCCCTTGATCGGATATAAGCTCATAGTCTTCAGCTGAATCCCTCCTAAGAGGGCGAGGATACACCGCGGCCAAAAAACCAGTAATCTTAGCTAAAAAGCGAGGTAAAGCATTTTCCTTGTTCCCTGTTGTTTATCTTCGTGTCTCCGGCAGATGAATTTCATCCTCCTTCCGTCTTTGTTTTTTTTTTTTTCTGAGACGAGGGGGAGGCAGTTTGTCAGCTCTGGCGTGAACCTTCGCAACAGCTTTGCAAGTGTCTCACCGACCAGTTATATCGGGGGACCAGCCGGTTCGAACTCTGGGCAGATGCTATCGGCTGATCGGTGGTGGATGGAAGAGGCCGTGATACCGAAATGAACCCAGCTGCTAAGACCCAAAGCCCGCCGTGCATCTGTCTGTCCCGAGGGCTTCCCGGCAAACCGGGTGCGGATGCCATCCCCTCAGGGAGGCAGGTGGGGGCGGAGGGGCAGGGACTTAGACAGCGGGCAAACTGTCCTCTCGTCCGCGGCGAGCGACCCGCTGGCAGCTGCTTCCCCGCCTGGGTAGGAACCATGAGACTCACCAGCGCCTGGAAAATATTTCTGTTTCTGTTTAGAGGCCAGAAATATGATTTGACATCACCTCATGGCTTTTCCAGCTGCTCGTGTTTTTCACGGGGCTTATAACAAGCTGGATGTGTAATTAGCAAGATAGATTTATCATCTGCCATTATGTTGTAAAGAATATAAAAATGGTGTTGGTGGTGCAGAAATCTCTTGCCACGTAGGAATGCCGTTAATATGTCTAGCAGGGCCTGCGGGAAATCTGGCGTGCGTTCCTGGACCGAGCACAGCTCAGGGAGAGGGTGGCAGAGTCGGGAATTGCTGAAAACCCCAGAGCGCACTGGCAGTCGTTGCAAAAAGTGGAGCCGTTCCGAAGGGGGCTCTTGCGGTGCGTTACCCGCTAGGCCTGGGCGTTCTCTGCGTTTTCTGACCACGCCGGTAAAGTCACTGTCCCCTGAAAGGTGTGCCTTCGCTCTTCTTGCCCTCAGAGATAGCCCACTGTCAAGTTCCGCAGCTGCGGGTGGCAGGTGGGTTCTCCGGGATCGTGTAATCGTGGGGATGGTTTTTGTGTCCGTGTTTCGGCACCAGTCCTGAGACCAAACGGTGGGCACCCTCAGGACTAGGACACAGCCCAGGGCCCACGCCACCGGAGCCTCGTCAGCCCTCGTTGCCAGCTGCCTCTCCCCAGCCCGGCCACCGTCGCCTCCAGCCATCGGTCTTGCCCTGTACAGCCACCTGTAGCGGAAGCATCCTACAGTACTGACCTGGTCCTGTCCCTTCCCCGCTGGAGAATGGTCGGTGGCTTCCCCAATGACAAACCTTGACCCCAGCCTCCCAAGGCTCTTCACGAGCTGCTCTGCAGCCCCGTTTCCTGCCGCTCATCCTGACTTGCTTTCTGCCCTCAAGCCAGCCACGCACCCTCCCATCTCTGCTGGGCTTCTCCCAGGAAGCGTCGGGTGCAGAGGGGGAAAGGAAGGCAGCCAGTACAGGTTGCATAAGTCATCACTGCTGCAGGGGACTGGGGCTCAGTCCCACTGGGGACCCCTGGGAGACTCTGTAGAACACGCCTCCAAGTTGACCCACCAAGAGTGAGGGTGCTGGGGTACTTTTCTGCCAGTTCCCTTCCATCGTAGGTTGAGGGCTTCCCTAGGATGTTCCCTCCCTGCACAGCAGGGAATCACGACACTAACAACTGAAAGCCTCTGCATGTACAGGAATGGCCACAGCTAAGCGGACGTGGGGAAGGGGCACCCTGGAAGCCTCTGCTATAATCTGGAAAGTTCTAGCATGTTTTTTTACTAGATTAAATCTTACCTGTCTTTCAGTTCTCATTTTATTTTTTTAATGTTTATTTTTGAGAGAGAGAGAGAGAAAAAACAAGCAAGGGAGGGCAGAGAGAGAGAGGGAGACACAGAATCCAAAGCAGGCTCCAGCCTCCAAGCTGTCAGCACAAAGACCGACGCAGGGCTTGAACTCACAAACTGTGAGATCATGACCTGAGCCAAAGTCGGATGCTTAACCGACTTGCCCCCAGTTCTCATTTTAAATGTAGCTTCCTTCAAGAGGACTTGGCTAACCTTTATCTAAAGTGCATCTCTCCCCATAACTGTGTTTTTCATCTATAATTATGCACTCACTGTCTGTCTCCTTTCTAGGCTATATGTACCATGAGGGCAGGGCCCGAGAACATTTTTTTACCTACTCAGCCAAACAGTGCATGGGCCAGAATTGCTCAATAAATATCTGTTGCATGAGTAAGTCAGGATGATCCTCTAGAAAAGCTACATGATGATAGACACTTTTTTTTTTTTTTTGCCTGTTTGCTTCATTGCTTTATCCCCAGTGCAGAGAACAGTGCCCCTTTCCCCCACTAAGAAGGCATCAAATAAATATTTGTCAAAGGAAGGAAGGAAGGAAAATAGTATCCAAACACAAAATGCCTAGCTGGTGGCCACTGACCAAATTCAGCCTGCAGACATTTTTGTTTGGCCCCTAGAGTGTTCAAAAAAATGTGAATTTGTCGCCAACATTTAAAAATCAGGAGATTGCACAGACTAAAACAGTCTAGATTTCCAGCTCTCCTTAAAAAATTAGAAAATCTGGCAATCCTGCATTCCCATGTGGCAGCAATCACCAGGAGCTGAGAAACGCCCGGCCTCTTGGGGGAGGGGGGCCGTACACTGTTCACGCCAACCACGGGCCCCCCTCAGCCTGTTTAACCCACTTACAGGACTCCCTTGGCTGCACTGGCATCCGACTTTCAACATCTCTCCTAGAATTTTAGAACCACAGAAGGTCAGAGGTGGAGGGACCTACGAGACCAGCATGGCCAATTAGTCTCCATAGTACAGAAGGAGAAACTGAGGCCCAGAGAGAGTAAGATCACCCAGGAGAGAATAAGAGTCTTATTTCAGGCTCACTTGCCTGTCTTTGTGCACCCTGGGTGTCCAGGGAAAACTCTTGGAGCATCCAAGCCTCCTATGCCGTCTTCATTCCTGTTCTAGAATTCTCTGCCCAGGCCCCCTCCTCCTTCCCCCTCCCCGAGATGAGGAGGGGTTTTTTTTTGTTTTGTTTTTGTTTTCGTTTTTGTTTGCTAAAGCCAGCCACTCCGAGAGAGACCCAAAGTAACCATGGCTTAAACAAGATAGGTGACTTCATCCAGCTATCAGCCCAGGTATAAGTTCGAGCCCATAAGTCTCCTATACAACACTGGGCACCAAGGCCCTCTTCTGTGCCTTTCCTAGAGGTTGTCCTCACCGGCAAGATAAAAACATCCTCGCCCCCATGTGTACGTTCCAGCCAGTGAGAAAGGGGAACAGGAAAAGGAGAATTTACCCCTCTTTACTTTATTTTTCCGCCTCTCTGTTAAAGGCCAGACGCAGAATGTGTGCTTCTCCTTTCTCTTCACACTCTATTGGCTGGAACTTGATCACGTGGCCACATATAGCTGCAAGGGAATCTGGAAAATGTAGTCTTGGTCACATGCACCATTAAAGTTCAGGGATTCTGTTATTCTGAGAAGGAGAAAAGGAGAAGGGATACTGGAGGACAGCTAGCGTTTCCTAGCACAGAGTAGCATGTAATAAGAGGAAGAACAATGAAAGAGAAAAATGTTGAGGAAAAAGAGCCTGGAAGGCAACTGTATTTGTAGCTCTATAGCTCCAAAGAGAGATCTGGGCTACAGCAATAAACTTGGAAGTGAGAGAAGTGTAGAGGACCCTAGAGGAACAGAAGTATGAACCCCGTTTTGCAGACAGAGTAACTGAGGCACAGGGAGGTTATGTAATCAAGGTATTCATAATAGAAACAAAATACGTATCCTTGATTTTTGGCCCACAACTCTTTCTCTTGGTGCTTTTCCAGAAGCTCCAGCTATGTGGAGCTCATTAATAGCTGGTAGCAAACGGGACTCAATTTGAGGCACTTTGTAGACTGTTTAAGCTACAAAAGGAATTTACTGGATCATAATAATTGAAAAACTCAGAGATACTTGGAATTCAGGTTGGGCTGGATCCAGGAGCATAAGCAGCATTCTCAGGGATTGGTCTTTCTGCATCCCTCAGCCGACTTTCTCCATATAGCATCTCCCTGTCGGCAATCCCATCTGAAAAAGGAGACCTACTTCCCAAATTCCAGCACAACTCTCAGGCTTGAATCTCATCGGCCCAACCTATGGGGCTCTGATTAGCCAGCCTAGATCAAGAGCCCACGCCCAGAGAGAGCAGAGGAGCGGGTAAGCTCCATCCCAGCCGAATGGACGGAATGGGGAGGGGACGTTTCCCAACGGGGAACTGAAGTGCTCTTTCCAGAAGAGGGCGAGGACAGGTACAGGCCAAGACACCCTGTACATCCATGCCAAGGACCAGCAGCTCTTTGCTCGTGGCCATGACACTTAGCAGTGTACAGGAAGCAAAAGTCATGCCAATTGTGGTCCCAGCCAAAGGGGTAACTTGCTGTTTACTTAAGGAAATAACACCAACAGAGCTCAGATGATTAAGGCATGATTCAAAACAGAGTGTTGGAATTTTCAAACAGAATCTGGGCTCTCTTCCTGTTCCCAATCAGAGACATGTGCTGCTCGGGGCTGTCATCTCTCCACTTCCTTTCCATCTCTTCCTACCCAGTGCTCAGCGCCAGAGCGTCCCTTGGTAGCTCTGCCTCCCCCCATCTTGTGGATCCATTCGAAATGCCCTGGAGAGCTGGCG